GTTCTAAATGATAAGATGGTGACGGTCTTGGCTGATAATTTTCAGGGACGTTATTATAAAAGGGTCGCTGTTGTGCACCAAGAGCGAAATATTACGGGGAATCTGTTGAACCTTTTGTCTAAGATCACTCATTTCAAAAGGATCTCTCCTAGAAATCAGCGAATCTTGTATACGTTATTGTATACTGGACACGTCGCCTTCAATATATCCACTATCGTGGAAAGATTGGCGAGAATGATTAGTAGGGTCTTCGACAGTAGTTTGTGAGCTTGTTGCTTTAACCTGTTCATTAGTAGGAGGGTGTTGGGATGTTTTTGGAATAGTTCCAGTACGACTACTAACGCTTGTTGTTTGTTGAGAAGGAGAAAGCGAAATTAGATTTGTGTTATTGTTATCTTGTTAGCTTGAAGGCAAAGCACAAGCCGTGGGAGCTTGTTGCTGCGTAGGCACACTAGTGGCATGCGGCTTTAAGGTCTGGGTTGAATGGCCGAGACCTTTTTCGATTTCCGGGCCTAAAATGGGATTACGTACAATGTAATCCTCACCGCGTTATAGTATTTCGTATTTACGCAATCGTTCGCGTAGCACAGTCTTTGTACCGGCATCTGAAAGTCTACGTTTTCCTAACTCCAACAACAAACACTCGCGATTTAATTTATAAATCCATTCGTCCTTGGAATCAGCCATTGTTGAATTATTTGAATTACAAATGAGTAATAATTGTTTATTCTTTTAATTTAATTTTATTTTAAAGGGGTTTTTCTTTTTAAATTATTTTATGTAATTCAATAAACCTATTATTAATTTAATAAAGGGCGTATTATATTATCGTTAGTACGAAGTACTAAAACAAGATTATAATGTTTTCTTTTTTTGAATTTATTTTAATTTTCTCAAGTCAAAATTCTATGAAGAAAACTAATATTATCCTTTTATGAGATAACAATTCTGGGTAACCTAATGATTTGTTTTGGGATGATAAAGATAAGATTACAATGTTCCCTTTATTGAATTTATTTTGACTTTCTCAAATCAAAATTCTATGAAAGAAACTAATATTATCCTTTTATGAGATAATAATTCTGGGTAACCTAATGATTTGTTTTGGGATAATAAAGATAAGATAAGGTGAAATATATTTCTAGGGGAAATACCAAGCTTGTGTTTTGAAATATAATGTGTTCAAAAATAAATTCCAACAAGTCAAATACTTGTACCACAAAAGGTCAATTAAAAAATAGGTGATATGTTTTTCAGAAACTGTATGCTTCCGAGAATAATATGTTTTGTTTTGTACAAAGGAGATAAACAGAAACGATATGCTTTGAGCAAAGAGAGAGTTTAGGAGTAAGGGGTTTTCTATTTTTTTGTTCTCTTATTTTTTTTTGCTTTGGCGTTAGCCCCACGCTGGGCGCCAATTTGTGACGAGAATTTTGTTTAATTATAATTTTCCTCAAACAAAATCAACAAATTGGCCAAAGACTTACATTCTCGTCTAACTTCGGAATCGAGAGTTCTATTAGTAAATTTTACTTAGGGCGCCAGTCTTTCAGGGACAATAAAATACCAAAAAAATGAGAAATAAATAAAAATTTTAGAACTCGATGATTTACCGGGAAAATTAATACAATTAATAGCAAGAAGAGGGAAAGGTTCAGAATTCTCAATAAATAGGATTAACTTGTTTAATTAAATATATATTATTTATTTTTACCAAAATTCGGGAATTGACAATTTATAAAGGGGAATGGTAACCAATTATAAATTATATAACGAATTCAGAGAAAATGCAAAATAAAGGGAAAAGGTAACCTCAAAATAATTGATTTTTAATTAAAGAAGTTAATCCTATTTACTGAGAATTCTGAACCTTTTCCACTTTTTGCTATTCATTGTATTAATTGTCCCGGTAAATCATCGAGTTCTAAAATTTTTATTTATTTTTAAGTTTTTTTGGTATTTTATTGTCCCTGAAAGACTGGCGCCCTAAGTAAAATTTACTAATAGAACTCTCGATTCCGAAGTTGGACGAGAATGTAAGTCTTTGGCCAATTTGTTGATTTTGTTTGAGGAAAATTATAATTAAACAAAATTCTCGTCCCATCATTTTATATTATATTAATTATATTTTACATTTTATATTGTATTCTTTGCATATATCTACCTACAAATAAATAAACAAAGAATTGATTTGACTTTTCTAAAAAAAAACGAAAATTTGTATCTCTCTCTTTAATTAATTAGCCGTGTCCGATTTAGCCCCATTAATTTTCAGATTTTCGTTTTTAAGGTAGTCACCTTCAAAGCAATATATCTCCAAAGCTATTGTAGTTTTTTAAAAATGAGCAAGTGCGATTTGTAGTGAAGGAACAAGCTTTAAAACGGTATATTACTCTTTAGTAAAAAATATTTTTTTTCTATGAGTTTTCTGGTCAAAGACCAAATCCGTCCGGTTTAGCCCCGGTCTCCCCCACTTCTAAAACAATGGTTTGTTTAAAAAATGACGAACAGAGGACTTAAAGCTTACTAAATTTCTGACATTTTGCGAAAAATAAAAATAAAACTGCTTTAATAGTTTTAGAAATACTGTCCCTCAAAATTGACCATATTTGAGGTTATATTGCAAAAATTCTATTTTTCGCAAATAACTATAAGTTTTTGTTATGCTTTATTCTAAACATACAAACGTTATTAAACATGATTAAATCATGCGTGGATGTACTGTTAAATAAACAAACCACTTCAAAATACATGACCGTTTAATAGTAAAATTTAGTTCTTTTTTAAATTTCTCGTAATTGAGTTTATTTACATGTTTTTCATGAACTTAATAGCCGTTTAATAACGTTTGTATGTGGGCAAATTTAAAAAACAGTTAACTTTTATGTGATTTTTCTTTTTTCTGCACGAATGGCCTACAGCACAAACCTAATTTCTTCTGGATAAAATACATGTAGTACTCCTTAATACATCACAAAAAGTTTTGAGTGGTTAATTGAATAATTTATGTGTTATGCGACTTAGAAGTCAGAAAATAATTGAAAAACTCAAAAATTTCTCTGTGATTTTTAGGCGATGGAAAATTGAACTGAAAATAACTTTTGAAGAAATTTATGTATTAATCTGTTATTTTGTGTATTACACTGGAAACTCCGAAGAGCGAACGGCTAGAGTCTTAAGGCGCTTGCACACTTCGAAATTTTTGGGCGAGCGGTTGGACGAGACTGGTATGAATTTTTTTACAACAATGTTAATTTAAAACACTGTTTATTAGAGAAGATTTTTTTGTGTAATTTTTTTATAGGCTGGACTAAAGAATATGTCGTGGATAAAGTTAGAAGTTTAAAAGATACTTTCATAAGACGCTGCTTGAGTAATTCTGAATCGAATAGTAACTCTAGGAAGTGTTGGAAGTTTGAAAAATTTTTTTCTTTTTTAAATAACATGTTAGCTCCTCCGTTGTAAGTTATTACATGCGTATATCAAAAAAAGAAAAAATACTTAATAATATTTTTTAATTTCGTGATTATAAAATATGTTTTAGGAGAGACTCATTTGCTTCACCTTCATCTTTGTCACAGCTTGCAGGGAAAAAATGTATTGCAGGTATTCCTTTTTTATATTGGATATACACATAGACTAACCAGAAATTTGTACTCTCAGTCTGTTTTATAAACATTTATAAAAAACATCCAGTCGAAAAAGTTAATCCTAAGAATATTTTATGAATTATAGAAATTTAGCATCTGATGGACATGGAAACATGTGTTCTGATGGAGGGTTAAATAGGATTCAATTATCATTCTGTTCTAACTTTATTGAAATTAGCATAACAATAAATGTCAAAGATGCAAAGAATGTGCGAGAATTAATTCTACTGAAAACATATTTTAATATTTAATGTAGTGTGCTTTTTTGCAGGCAAGGGAAGAAAGTTGGTATTATTAGTGGATTCCAATAACGAAACCAGTTATACTTCAGTGGACGAATCGTGTTCTAAAATTGAACGAGAAGAATCAAATAAAATTGTTCACAATGATATCTGCACACTTAATTCTTCATACTTAAGTGACAATGATTCTTTAGAAGAAAGCGATAGCGACGAATCGTATTCTAAAGAGGGTCCAAGCAGAGATGTCTTAGCTCTTAGTCTCTTATTAAGATATAAGCAAAAGAGAAAAATACATCGAAAATTTAGAATCCACCCATTGTGGGAAAAGAGAAGTGTATTTGGTACTTGGATTTCTATTTTATTTTAAATTTATTACAATAATGAAAATAGTATAATTTATTTAGGTACATTATAAACATTACAGGTGCTCACGCTAGTTTGGTTAAATGAGATGGTATTGTGTGATCGTATTGTATTTCGTAATTACACTAGAATGAGCGTAAGTTTATTTGAGAAACTTCTTCTCAATGTTGTCAGTCAGCTTTTGAATGCACCAACAAGACCAGATGTCATAACTCCTGAGAAATTAATGGTTACTCTAAGGTAATTTAAACAGCATGTATTTAAGGAAATTTATAAAATTAAAATTTACATTCCCGTACTACATAGCATACGGATTTCTGAGATTTATGATTGCATCCTAATGAAGAAACAAGCCTCCTTGTATATATATATATATTTTAGAAAATGACGTAAAGCGTTTTATACGTAAAATAACATTTTAAAATGAAGTGGCTTTTGTCCACTAGAATAATTAATTTTTCTAAATAAAAATTCTGAGATGTTAAGTGGCTAACAATATTTAAAACATTGTTCGACTTTTTATTAAATTTACTGTTCACGTATTTTCTATCTTACTATTTCTATATCTTTGTATTAAAAATACTAATTATTAACTATATTAATTCTTATATGTTTGACATAGGTTTCTTGCAACAGGAGAATCATTTTCTTCCCTCTCCTTCCAATTTCGAATGGGTGTATCTACAATTAAAAAAGTAGTTCAACAAACGTTAGACGTTTTATGGAAAACACTTCAACCAGACCTGTTAAAATTGCCTTCTAGTGAAGATGAATGGTCAATCATAATAAAGGATTTTTTGATATGTGGCAGTTTCCAAATTGTTTCTGTGCGATGGATGGGAAGCATATTATGATGCAAGTAAGAAGATTTTTAAGTATGGTTGTTCTACATTCCAAAAGAGTATTATTATTTGAATTTAACTTTTTTTGGAAAAAGTGCGATTTTAAATTTATTTTTATTTCAATACAAATTTTAGAAACTTCAAATATATCCGATGCCTCTCTTTACTAATATATATTTTCTTTACTTTTTTAAGGCGCAACCCCATAGCGGTTCAGATTTTTACAATTACAAACAATATCATAGTATCAAATTGCTAGCAATGTGTGACGCGAAGTACAATTTTACTTATGTGGACGTGGGTGGCAAAGGAAGGCAGAGTGATGGAGGTGTTTTTAAGAATACTGCTTTGTACGAAAAGCTCGCTAATGATACAATGAACCTACCCCCAACAACTTCTCTTCATGCAGGTGGACCTAAAGTTCCACAAGTGTTTCTCGGTGATGCAGCTTTTAGCAATGCAATGCATTATTTGTGTCCATTTAAAGGAGCAGGGACAGGAAAGCTTGAAAAAGATAAAAATGTATTTATATTTACAGGCTGAGTAGAGCGAGAAGAGCAATAGAAAATACGTTCGCAATATTAGTAGCAAGGTGGCGAATATTTAGGGGAATGATTGCTGTAGGATTACGCATGATGAGTCTAATTGTTCAGGCTGGAGTCTGTCTTCATAATTTCATAAAAAAGCATGAGTCCAATTTACCGGAAGACATGCAAGAATATTGTCCACCTATTTTTGCGAATACGCTAGATCAAACAGGAGAAGAAATTTTAAGGCAATGGCGTAGTGAAGTTGATGAAAGCACTTTTCAACCATTGGAAAATAATTTTGAAATTACTAATTATGCTCATATTAGAAATCATTTTAAAAATCATTTTATGGGCCCCGAAAAGGTTTCATGGCAGGACAAGGCTGTTGAAGAAGGAAATATTTAAATTAAATAAACACCTGCAATTAAGTTTTGTTTATATTTAGTTTAGTTTATCGATGAGTTTCGTAATGATACTACAAACTAAAATTTAAAAAAAAATAAGTTTTTAAAGTAAGTATACATTTTACACTTGAATTAAATAAAAAATATCTCATTAATAACAAATTGCTTTTGTAGGTTTCAATTATGCCTTCTTAGTTTGAACGTGTCGCACTCATATATTTCCATGGGAACATATGAGTGCGACACGTTTATACTATGAAGGCATTTTTGAAACCTACTGTACATTGAAATAAATACTCACACTCTTTATTAATTCTTATATTTCTTTTAACTTAAATTTTAAGTCCATAACAGAATTAACATTTTTTAAACAGTTCTAATATTGCTCTTTAAAGAAATTTGGTTTAAAGTATCTTGATAAAAAAAATCTAAGTTATGAAAAAATAGGAAATAAACGCAAAATTAAACTTTTTACAATAACAAATTACAAGTAATAACACATTAATATATTACAAGTAATATCACAGTAACTTCTAGCTACACCCTGAATATGACATATTTATAATCACAGTGCACATGATATCAGATGTTTACTGACTCCTGTATGCGAAAATTTTTTTGTAATGCACACAACAATTTCTCTGATACACGAAAATAAAATCTTTCTTTAAATTCAGTATACATGTAACAATATACTGGTTGTATTGTATATATTTTTATTATTATATTGTAATATACATTATTATATTATATACTAATATATAATATATATAATATATTATATTATTATATATATGTATATAATATTATTGTATATATAAACAATATACATAAAATAATAACAATATACATGTAACAAAGTTTAAAGGACTTGTACATTTAATGCTAGGATATATATCTATCTAATTTTTAAATTTGGTTTAAAGAAATCTTAGTTATTGAAAAAATAAAAAAATAAACGTAAAATTTTTTTTAATACAATAAAAAAAAATCTGCCCGCCCTTCGGGCGGACACATTCTCATCCGCGCTTCGCGCAGGAGGCTCGCTTCGCTCGCAAGCTTCAGCGCGCCTCGGGGCGCGCGAATTTTGGTCGTCGCGCTTCGCGCGCAAATAGCTCGCTGCGCTCGCAGTCATCCGCGACCGTTGTGCATTATTTGCGTTCTTTTCCTTTTTTCTATTATATGTTTCAAGGAATTATTTTTTCTTAAAGTTACTACGACTTTAAGGATTACATTCTCATCACATATTTTTGCTTGCTGATAATTGCGAGATTAAGTGAACTTAAATGCAAATTTTTGTTCTTGCTGATCGAAAATGAGAAATTATTTTAACTACTAAATATTTTCGCAGAAATATGGGTTGTTGAAGAAGCTACAATATTTTAAAAATACAAGTCGGGTAACAGTGACAAGCCTTAAGCCGCTCACTGCTACTTGACTAGTATTATTCCTTTCAACCAGGCGTTCGTCCCCTTATTGCAGCCAGCCCTTCATTTGTCAATAACAATTATTTGTATAAACTGCTGCTCAAATTGATTAAATCATAAAATATCTTTATGTTTTTATGAACATCTTAATTATTTGCAAAATTTAAAAATAACCCTAGTTTCTAGGCGCTTTAGATAAGAAAAATAATAAAATAATAATAACTACATAGTATACTTCTTATGAGATTCAATGCAATTCGAGGGGTAAAACATATAAAAAAATTCAAATTGTTTATAAAATTATTATTAAAAATATGAAATTTTTAAATTTACAATCATGAAAATATTTTCATTTGAAAGAGTGAACTACTATGTGTAGTCAGTGTAAATTTCATTAATTTACTGTAAACGCATTTTAAGTTATTAATTATTTTTTAAAATGATGTAGTATTCTGTTCTAATGCAAACAAAAAATTTCAAATTTAAAAAAACAGTTAAAAATTTTACTTTTTATATTCTAAACAACAGATAGTAGTAGTTTTTGTAGTTTTCAACGAAAATGGCTGGTTAACGAACTTAACCTTATTCATTTTTACACCAACTTTAAGTGTGTTAAATTTAAAAACGATCAGATAAGATTTTTAAAAGTTATTGTGTCAACAACATTTTGGTCTACAGACGGACATACATACATACATACAGACAGACACACAGACAGACGGACTCGCCGGACCATGTTTTTCGGGTTCAGGGGACCTCAAAACGTAAAGATTTCATAAAATTATCAAAAGTCAATTTTCGACCAAAACTAATACTTTCTCATTTGATGAGAATGTAACTAGAAATACAATATTAATATATCACAGTAACTTCTAACTAAAGGGTAAGACTCCGTCAGAAAAAAAGCGATTTGCAAGTGGTCTTCCGATTTCTTCGAAACCTTGGGAAATAGAAGTCTTATATAAAATAAATTTAATCCTAAAAGGATTTTGAAAAATTTTCAAAATGGCGGCCGCTACGCCATATTGAAAATGAGTGTTGCGTTTTTTCCAAAAATTAATAACTCTGAAACTTTTTGATCGATTTTAATAAAATTTACAGGCGATATAGTTAAAAATACGTAGTTTAATTTGATATTATGAACAAAAAAAAATTTCCAAAATTTGTCAAAAAAAAAGTCAAAAAAATTTTTTGAATTAATTTTTAGTTCAGTTGGCCTAATTTTTGAATTTTCTAATAAGTAAATATCGATTCCTTGTAATTTTACCTTTCATTTCATAAAAAAAAATTTATGGAGACTCTAATAGTTCTCGAGATATTGCGACTTTAGTGGGAGCGCGTACCGCGGAATTAAACTCCGTAGCGAGGCGGAATATGAAGCGAGCGTACAAACGTGCACAATAGGGTGTCCGTAACAATGTGACTTTCGAATTTTGTTTACGCCACCCCCCAGTTTAGTTCCAATAAAATAAAAAAAAAATTTCCCAAAATTTGAAGCCGATTGATTAATATTAACACGTGCCAGAGATCCATCGAAATTTCCCATTAAAAATACATAGGAAAAATGCACTTTTTAAAAAAAAATTCATAACCTTTTTAATTTTCATGCAAAAAATTCTCCAGGTCACATTTGCCTTCATTTTTAGCTGCACTATAAGATAGCACTTTGCCAAAAATTTAATTTTGAAAAATTTTTAAAATGGCGGATGATTAAAGTGGGTCATAAAAATGCACTACAATATATCCAAGGTTTTAACACATAAGTGTTGTCAAAAATTCAAAAAAATTCCTTACTCGGGGCTATTTTCGATCGTTTATCATGAATCTGATATTAGAAATTAATTTTCAAAATTTTGGATCCAATATGGCAGGTTCCAAATTTTAATTTTCTACATTTTCGAAGTAAATATTCTAAAACAACGTCAAGGGCGATATTTGGAAGCGCTATTTTCGAATCTAATGTTAAAAATTTATTTTTTAAATTACCGAATCTAATATGGCATGGCGGATTCAAAATTTTTTTTTAAATATTCCTTTAATAATCAATTTTTAAGAGCAGAGGTATAAAAAGTTAAATTTCTATAAAAGAGTTTCTAAAACATCCCAATAATTATTTTTTGGAAATATTAATCTATAAACTAATATTTAGACTATTTACTTAAAAATGTAGAAAATCATAATTTTGAATCCGTCATAGTGGATCGAATAATTTGAAAAATAAAATTTTAACATTAGATTCGTACACTCAGAAAAAAATTTGTTCGAATCAACCAAATTTTGGTTGAATCAACCAAATAAATGCATTGCTATACAGTCAACAAAACGTTTGTTTGATTCAACCAAAAAATTTCTTCCAATACGTTTATTTGTATTAACCAAATGCTTATTACACTTAACCAAAAAATTTTATTTAATATTTAACTAAAAAATTTGTTTATTTCAAGAGAAAAGATTTGTTTGATTCAAATAAATAGTTTTAGTAAACATATTTGGTTCATTTAAATAAATATTTTTGTTTACTTAATTTTGTTATTTATTTTCCTCTAATAATATTTGAATTTCCTAATTTAATATTTTCTAGTACGTATTATTGGTTAATTTATAATTTATTATATAATTATTGATATTTTAAAATTATACATATAATAAATTATAAATTAACCAATAATATGTATACTAGAAAATATTAAATTAGGAAACTCAAACATTATTAGAGGAAAATAAATAACAATTGAGTAAAATATTATATATGTATTTCTTCATATAAACAAAATTACTTAATTATAAAAAACATTTGAAATATTACATTAAACATATTATAATTATGATTTTTATACGTGCACTCAGAAAAAAGTTTATTCGAAACAACAAACTGAAAACTTCACAAAACCTTTTTGTAAATATTCTTCTCACTGGTACAAATTAAATATGCAGTAAGTCAATGAACACAATGTATTTAATATTTATTTAACCGACACTTATAATTTTTTTTCTTTGATTTACCGATTTAACAAATAAATTTGACGCGAACGCGGACTGTAGACAAGTGAGATCGCCATTTTTAAATTCACACATGTACTTTTTGAGACAAGCAAATATGTTTGTTTGACTCAAATAAAATGATTTGGTTGAATCAAACAAATTTGTGTGTTGTGTCGAACAAACTGTATTTAACTAAACAATATTCTCTATTCAAAACACAAATTTGGTTAAATGAAACAAACAACTTCAAATAAAAAATTTCTTTCCAATAA